GATGGGAAGCAGGGCTGCCGGGATTAAAGTGGTGCCCGTATGTTCCTGGGGCATGCAAGGTGAGGAAAACCTCCTGAAATAAAGCAACATTGCAGCCTCTGGGTGCCAACACTGCCAACAGGAGGGAGCATGGGCTGTGAAAGCACAGCTAGTGCCTTGGTCACCGGCTCACTGGAGCCACAAAGTGAGACCAATGCTAACACACAAAGCACATGCAACCATCATGCACAACTCTAATTTTACAAGATGTGGCACTAGGGGCTGGCACAGTGGCATAGCAAGTGAATTCTCTGCCTACAATTCCTGCATTCCCTATGGGCCCTGGTTCATGTTTCACATGCCCCATTTCCAATCCAGTTACCCACTTATAACATGGGGAAGCATGACCCAAGTCCTTGAGCCACAATATCCATGTGGGATACCCAGAAGTTTTTGGTTCCTGGCATGTCCAGTGGCTGTAACCATTTGGAGGGTTAATCCGTGGATTTCTCTCTCTCTTTCTCTTTCTGTCTGTAATTTTGCTTTTCAAATGAAAATAAATAAATCTTAAAAGAAAAAAGAAAGATGTGGAACTGAGTTCTCCTGGGCATTCTGATTATTCAAGTTTACAATATCCTCTGTAAATCTTCTACCAGATTGACTCTGCCATACCAGATTTTCAGAGAGAAGAGATTTTCAATATTTATAAGCAATACCTCTCAACATCATCTTGGGTAAGCCACCCTCCCTGGTAAGGCTAGAGGCCACCTTCTGTGCTCTTAGAATATCCCCAAATTCCTTTACTTTCCTCTGAAGTGGTGCTGCCCTACAAGGAGGCATCTCTCAGCTGAGAGCCTCTTTCTCTAAGAAAATCTTCCCTTAGACAAATAAATGACTTTTTCTTCTAATCTAAAACTTTGTAGAGGATGACTTCAGGATTTATTTTAATGATACATCCTAGTGCTTCTCAAAAAGAGTGCCTACAACCTGAAATGCCTTCCAGCTCACGTAGCCTTATTCTCCTCTAGAGAGAAAGAACAGACTCATGGCCTAAATACCGACTAGAAATCAGGGCTAGATTTGAGAGTTCCTTCAACTCTCATCAACTTTTCATCCCTGCTACTCTATTTTAAAACCCCTTTCTTCTGTTTTAAACTACAAAACACTAAATTTTTACAGCAGCCCAAAGGCCCGTAAGTTAGATACACTGAAATAAAACTATAACCTATAAAGGGTTACTCTTTGCTAAAATCCTTCTCTGAAGCGATAATTTGGCTTTTAATTGTGGCAACATCCAACTTCCTTGTGTTCTTCAGTGACTTGGGCTCTCACCAGAAAATAAAACTGCGTGAGGAGAGGAACCGGGTAACTTGTTTTGATTGTTCACCTACAAATCAAAGTAGCAGGAAAAAGTGTGATCATGTGCTTATCAGCAAAAACAAAAGCTTATGAAAATAATACCAAAACATTCACGCTTTAAATAAACAGTTCTGTGTAGGACAAATATAAGCCTAGACAAGTCCAGAATGAGATACACTGCTCTGCATGACAAGTAACTTGATCTTTTTTTCAAGCATAATTTATCCCTTTGGAACCCTCAGGAGTGTTAAAATCTGCCATATCAAAAAAAAAAAAAATGTGATCACTTTCCAAAACAGTAGCCAGCTAAGCATCTTGCACATTAATGTGCATTTATACGCACAGTCAGGATCCAACAAATAAGTGTCAATTAAAAAGCTTTCTTCTGATTGAATTGGAAAACATTATAAGAGCTGAGTTTTTATACATAAGCACCCAAGAGACAGAAAGCACTGTCTAGTTTTAGAAGTAAAGTTCTTTTCTTAAAAAGTATATAATTGCATTCTCAAGACTAAAAAGATTAGTCGCCTTCAATGGATTCTCAGAAAAAAATAGAATCCTATTATTTCCTCTCTACCGAGGAGTAACATCTCATAATTACAGGAAAGCTGTGCATTAAGTTGCCCACTCAGGAAGTACCGTTTCCTAATAAGATGCAAACTTAATTCACTCTCACCAAGTCAGCTACAAAGAGTAAGTTCTCACCTCCCACTGTCCTCTTTCATCTGTAATTCTTCACATTACTTCAATAAGAGGCACTAAAGACAATCCATTAATCGCAAGATCCCCTCCCATCTAGATCATACCCATAAGAAGCAAAGACAAAAGAAGATGTAATTGTGTCATGAACAGCCATCCAGCATGATAGGAAAGCAATCTCAATTGTTCTTAGGGCGAGTTTAACTGTGACCATTGGACACTTGTGTATCCCTTCTTACCAACAGATGGCCCTTGTCTAGGGCTGATCCACAAGAGCGGCCTCTGTCCCTCCCACTACAAATACATCTCGCTCTCCTTCAACGCCTTCCCAGAGCCTTTCAGTTACAAAAGGATGTGCTGACAGACGCCAAAACTAACTACCTTAGAACCATTACGGTCTTCCTTTACATATCTCTTCAACACTGTATTTGTCTGTGTTATACCTAATTTAAAGAACCATGAACTCAGAGGGAAGAAACAGGGAATTCTTCTGGCCTGAATCCATCATCTTCCAGATGGCCAGTCACAGACAGTGATTTGTGCAGAGTTCGATGATAACACACATGCCTCCAGAAACACTGCAAACAGGAAGTATTATGGCCTCTTTTCAATGACCAACTTCTGCTTCCCTTCATACTGGAAATAATAACCCTTGATTGGAGAGTAGCAACACTGAAGATAATAAAATACTACTGTTTTTTAAAAACCTTGCATAGGCCCAAAACGTGACTCACTATTTATTTCTCCATTATTCATAGAGATTCAAAACAACTCAGTTTGAGTTGTGGTCCCTAAAACAAGGACAGCTTTCATTTCAGTAACATCAGTAGCAGAAGGCTGACCCAGACGTACTCAATTTCAAAACACACAAATCCTAGTCCTCTCTTATGATCATAAACTCTTTCACTGGGAGACCCTGAGAAGTCCACAAAGCAAGGTTTCACAGTGTAGAAAGAACTTGGGAGACAGAGAGAATAGAAATTCAGATCGGGTCTGGGAAACGGAGGTTCAGGACAAGAATCCATGTTAGCATCAGTTATCAAGGAAACAGGTTTCCTGCCTGGAAAAGTATCAAGGTTTCCTCCTACATCATTGGGAGGCACAGGCCTGTGTGAAGGTGGTGGCGACTCTCCCAATTGGGAATAATTACACTTCTCACATCTCTCAGAAACAGAGGTATGCGTGAGACCTGACAAATACCACAGGAACATCACCTCTGATAGAACATACCCTTTCCTTTCTCTCTCCAACACCCCTGCTTAAAAAAAAAATCACACACATGCGGCTACTTTCAGTCCCTTCTCTGCTCTGAACTCTTCAGCGTAACCGCTTTCTTCTTGTTCCTTTACAGGCCATTTCTAGGATCAGACGTCACACTGTGAAGCAGTTGCCAGAAATATTAGAGACTTTTGATCTGCTCATACGATCCTTATCGCATTTAACAAGGAAGGTAGACTACAGGAAACAAACAGGAGATTCTAAGTTCTGGCTCGCTCTTTCACTGTTAGTTGACCTCAGGCAGGTTGCTTCTTTGAGTCCCACAAATGACATCATCCGCTGGGCCGGGTGCTGCATGAATTACCGATTGAGCCATGGCAAGCTCCCTCGCTGTAACAGTGATTATGGCTAACATTATGCGGCTACATATAATCAACAGATTAGATTTATGCTAGTAATTACTATGATAGCTCCACTCTAGTATCTTTAGACACACCCAAGCCTTCAGGGTCAGATTTGAGGGCAACGATGCCAAGGGGTTCATCTGAGGCCATGATGAAGAAGTCACTCCAGATGTTTTTCTCAGGAACATATCCTTCATCATTCGGCACTGTGAACTTTGGCACCAAACGGCCTGCTGCATTTTCTTGATGCTTTTGGAGCCTACCAATCAGGGTGGCCCTTTTCAAGAGAGAAACAAGTAAAAACTGCAGATTTTCTTGGTCCCTAGGGGGCAGTCAAGAGTCTGCTTGTGGTGAGGTTCCTGATTTGGGTATAACCGCCTTGTCAGGTTTTGGACCCTTTGTTTCTCGTGATCCCAGAAACTCCCCCTCTACAGGGGAACATCTACAAACCAGAAATTACCTGTTCAGCTTCTAATTAGCAGCACCTGCTCTGTGACCACGCTTCTTTCCTCTGCTTCCTTTAAGTGGTAGTCAAACCCCCACCTGGACATCTTACCAGCAACAAAACACATCCCAGGACACAGGTAGCTCCACAGGAAATAAAGCCTCTGGATTTGTGCAGAAAAACTGCTATAAACAGCTTCGTTTCTTATTATTAATCCATCTCATGTGGGGATTTCCACAGGCGGAAAGGCTCCCCAAATGCCAGGAGCTGTATTTTCTGTGGATCATTGAAACCTAATTCTTAGCAGGCCAGTAAGCCCCACTACCAGACTTTCACACCATCAGCAGATCACAGGTAAGTCCTGAATTATGGGCTGTGGAGAACAACCAAGGCACTGAAAGGCAGATTCACTTCTTTGCCACAGCTTCCCACATGCCACGACACTGGAGTTTCCCCAGAAAACGTAAATCTTACGCAAGGCACTGTTCACACACAATCGTTTTTTCTGCATCAAGGCACCAAGACATGCACAACGTACACAACTAAACCTGTCTGTTGTCGGCACCTGTCCTCCTTATGAAGGCCTTCCTGCTCCAAGCCAGTCCATCCTGACAACGCTCAGGACTTGAGTATGCCGTCAACCTCAACAGCACCAACATCAATCTTTGCTACATGCAGTACATCTGTCTGCAAGGGTACCATGCAAAGTTTCAAATCCAACTTCAAAGAACAGCAAAACAACTTGTACTCTCAAAAGCCAGCACAGAACTCTGAGGGGCAGCCACTCCTCAATCCCACAAAAAAAAAACACAAAAAACCTGTTCTCTACCTGTGAAGCGGAACCACAACGAGCCAACATCTACAGGGAGAGGAAAGAACCCCTCGAGGCTGCTCACCTGCCTGAGTCCCTTGGGTGTTCTCTTTCTCTTCCCGAGGTGCTGGCAGAGGTTGCCGTCATTCTCCCGATCCGAGCTGTAGTGGTGAGGGTGGCTCAGTCTGCTCTTCTTGGAGTGAAAGGACAAGCCATTGGTAAGTGCTTCTCGTTTCTTCTTGGTCAGGGGAGTCTGGCGTTTCTCCACGCGTTCCTGAGGCTTAAGTGCTACATCTTTCTGTAGAAAAGAAAGGAAGGGGAAGGAAGTGATGGTTACATAGGTAGCTAGGGTCACCTTCAAGATATAGATTATTTCAGGGGAGAGAAGAGCAGGGTGTGAAAGCACCCAAAACCATGAAAGATGGCCTTCAATTTTTTTTGCAGTCCCTAGCTCCACCACAGATGTATCCATTCTCTCCTCATTGGACAGAATACTCCGCAAACAATCTGCCCATTCAAACTGGTTCCCCGGCCCCCGAGAATACTGGCTTTTCTGTCTGAGTCGGTCCTGGGTCCAGCAATGATGACATTCCCCAAGGACACTCGATACATTCACTTCCCATGTTGGCACATCAACTACTACACTTTTGAGGAAAAACAAGTGCTAAGTGCACTCTTCGTTCCAAAGAAATCACAAAGGACTGAACACACTGAAGCAGAAGTGGGCCAGAAATAAACTGTCCGTTCATGTGATTAAGATGTTTTCTTAATACATTATGCTTTTACCACATGTTCCTCTGAGATGTTATCTTCTTGGGAAAATGAAACATCAATAGCATCACCAACACCAAAAGAAGCTTTTCATTATTCTGCTGGGTGGTTGGGACGGAGGGTGGATAGAAGCGAAATCAGTGAAGTGGGGATCTGCACCTGTACGAACAGGGCCTGCAGGCAGCTCCTCATACACAGACACACCAAGAGGCCAGTCTACATAAAGACATCATTCATCAGCAGGCCGGGGAGTAAGCCACTGCAATAAACAGGCTCCCAGAGCATCAAACGACCTAGTACATGCAGAAATGCACAGAATCCTAACATACACTATACACACTAAGCACTAAATGAAAATGATCCGACACTTAGTGCTTGATAAGTGAGTGGACATGATTCTCTTTATACAGAAAACACCACTTAATGGGGCCTCATCCCTCATCATATCTCAACTCTGTGGCCCTAAGATACACAGTGCCAAGGCATAACAGCCTACACTTTCACTCATGGAGCCAGCATCCAATATAGGTTCCAGTTCGAGTCCCAGTGCTCCACTTCTGGACCAACTCTTCTCTGCTCGCTGGGGAGTAAATCACCGTTTGGGAGACCTCCCTTCTTCTCTCTCTGTAGCTCTGCCTTTTCAAATAAAAATAAATAAATCTTTAAGAAAATAAAAACTTGGCCCAGGGTGATGGCCTAGTGGCTAAATCCTCAAGCTGTAACCACGAGGATCCCATGTGGGCACTGGTTTATGTCCTAGTTGCTCCACTTTCCACCCAGCTCCCTTCTTGTGGCCGGGGAGGGCAGTGGGGGATGGCCCAAAACCTTGGTAACTTGCACCCACGTGGGAGACCTGGAGAAAGCTCCTGGATCCCGAATCCTAGCTTTGGATCAGCTTAGCTGCAACCGTTGCAGTCACTTGGGGAGTAAAACAGCAGACAGAAGATCTTTCTATCTCTCTCTAACTCTGACTTCATAATAAAAAAAAAAACTTTTTTTTTGTTTTGCTAAAAAGTTCATGCTTTCTTTTACACATTTCTCATTTGCAAAACATCACTCATTCTTCCCTCTCTTTCATATCCAACATTCTCAACATAGCTATCTAGTCTGTGGCTTCTCACTATCTTGTAACTGCCTGCTTGCCATCAAGTGCTGGACTATATCCCCAAACCAGCCATATTCATTATTTGAAACCTTCGGCCTTGCTATGGCCCATCTGCATATCCCCCAAATGTACTCAAAGTGTTGATATTAGGTGTGGGGAGATGTTGTGGAAGGCAACTGAATCGTAACAGTAGAGCCTACAGGCCTTATCAAAGAGACCTCGGGGAGCTTACGGGCCCCTTCCAGCACATGAGGTGACAGCTGAAAGGAACCACCTACAAGGAACAAGGCCTCCCCATTCAATCAGCTGGCATCTTTGTACCTCCAAGCATCCAGCACAGTGAGAGACAAACGTTTCCCAATTATTAGCTGCTCACTTCACAGCATTTTGTTGAAGCAGCCTGGGTGAACGAAGATAGAGCTTAATGCTGTGGTTTTGCTTTGGGCTCAGAAGCCCTCAGGTGCACACGCCTCTGTTCTCTAGTTCCTCCCGGGGAAACCTTCTTTGTAACACCAAGCTCTCTGTGCTCATGCCTTCACTCACTCAACACACTTCTGCGCATCTCTAGCGTGTCAAATACGAAAACTTAGCCTACATAGGAGGCGAAAAACAATGGTGTGGGGAAAGCTCCAACCTTACACAGCCTGGAATTTGGGGTCAGATTCTAACCAAATCCTATAAAAGTTGAATTACTGCTCTAAGAGAAAGGTGGAGGGTGGGTGCTAAGACAGAGAGGATCCACCACAGAGGAGGAAGTGGTGCTGAGCTGACGACTGTCATTTGACCTAGATCCCAAAGGCAGAGCTCAGAGAACAGCTTGTTCAAGGGCCTTGAGGCAGCTGGTAGCATAATCCCTCGAAAACATGTTAAGGAGGGCAGGGACTAAGTAGTTCAGCTCAGGAACTCCAGAGTTTCGCACAAGCCAGGCAAGCAGTGTGGGGACAAAGTATGCTTGTAACATACACATAAATAATCATTTAAGACATCCCAAACTACAAAGCACAGGAGTGATTTTAAAGTACTCTAACCTACCTATAACATCCAAAGAAGCAAGCAAGCAAAGATGATTGAAACTGGAAACCAAGGAACCCCTGAGCCACTGCTGGCATGAGAAGGAAAACAGCAAACTGCAAAAGGCCCCAGCAAAGGGAAAAGGTCTCATCCTTGGAGGGGTTTCTGGTCTACCTGGCAGCTGTCTTTCCCACACACAATGCCTTCTGCCATCCAAGGGGCATTCCTGAGGCAAGCAACATATAGCAAGAAGCGCTTGAGGAAGATAAGCTAAGATGAAAGCCACAGCATATGACCACTGATTCTGCAGTTCCAGAGTCTGTCCACAAGGCTACCACACACCCAATGTTCAGTCAATGTCTGCTGAAGTGAATCCTTTTGGTGTGTGTCCACTTCCTCAGTGGGCTATGTCAAATCATCTGCTCAGATCAACAAATGTCCTCTGTTTTCCTATCCAGGCAAGACAGCTCTCATGAAAATGCATGCCTGAACCGTGGCAATGCTAGCAGGAGAAGCTGAGAGAGGTCCATCATGGGCTACTCCGATATGCTATGATTAAACGGTACCACTTCTAAGGGTTATAGAAAAACAACCCACTGGCTAAAAAAAAACACTTTTCTTTGTCACACAGCCCACTCACTGCCCTGCATCGTATACATGTGGTCTATCGGATTTACAAACAAATGATATTTAATAATGTATCAACTGTGCTTTTTAAAAAAGAATTACACCATTCTCTTTGGAAACCAAATCTTCTTTCATACTGAAGGTGCCTCCAAAGTATATTGAAAATTATGTGCTATTCCATACAAATTTGAATTAATATTTATGAGAGTGTGTTATAATTTCTCCCAAATCCATTTTATTTTCATGTAGCATATTAATCAAGGCATTCTCAATGCACTACAGAATAGCGACACAGAGCAAATGGACCCCATGCCGTGACATTAGCTTGTAAGAGACCTGCTGAAGTCTGAGCAGCAGCAGTACAATCATCTTAGCTCCAATTAATATTGAGATTTTCCACTCTGGAGGGTGGGGGGTATAGAGAGAGGAGAGAACAAGCATCAGTGTATGCAGAGGTGACTTAAGAGGCAATATGAAATGAAATGATGTAAAAAAAAAAGGTTTGAATCCAAGAGGTTTGTACTTTCAAAGAAAACACACCGATTTTTATTTTCGGAGGGTACACAGCTGTGTACAAATTACTGACCCTTTAAAATAAATTTTGAAAAAAAAACAACAGTGCTGATTCATTCCCTCCACAAACAGGTTTGGCTGTTTGCAGTGTATAACATAAGATGACCATTTAACTCGTCATTGTCCTTCATTTGGGGGTGGGGGAAGGGATGACAAAAACTGGCCCGTATTGGCAGTGAGAATCACAAGCAAGTCTGATCAGGAAACAACTGCCAACGCCCCCACTCAGAACACCTGTGCGATGGCGTATCTGTAACGTACACGCCTCTCTTTAACACACAGGAGAAGCCCTCCCGCAACCAAACAGAAACACTGAAATAAGAACGTCCTGAAAGAAATCTGGATATTCTCTACAGTACTGCTACAACATGGGGCAAAAAAAAAAGTGAATCTGGCTTATAAAATAATGTCGTGGATCAATGGACGACATAGTTTTCAAAGGCATAAACAACCCACCGTGATGTACGTCAGTGTCCTCCAAACCCCTAAAAATGTCCATCAAAACTGTCCACGGGTCCTTTTTGAAAAACACAACAAAAACAAAAACCCAAAAAACAGATGGCCATATTTCATATTTTGCAAGGGAAGTATTTAACGAATGAATGAAAGGGGGCAGAACAAACTACCCCCAAATATGCCACTTTAGTTTAAGGATTATTTTCATAAAGGCATTTGAGAAACAAAAGACACCAGAAGGGCCCTATGCAGTTCAGCACAGCAAGAGAAAAGAAATTATCACCACACACATCCCGATAGGAGAGCAAACTCCTCTGTGGAACACCCTCACTGTCGCAGGAGACGACACATTTTCTTACTTCTAGAAATGACAAGTCTTGGTAAAACAAAACAACCACCACAAAACCAAGAAAAACAAAAACAAACAACACAGGAGAAACAGATCTTATTAAAAAATATTATTTATCTGGTCCCATACATTTCTGACTTTTTCACAACTGCCATACCCTTCAACCTACTAGTTTTCGTCATTTCTTTCCATCTCCATTTCCCTACAGGAGCCCTATATACATGTGACAATCTTTATGCTTTTCTCCTATCCATCTATCTGACCGTAATTCACTGCTCAGATCCAGTCAAGAGATCCTTATAATGTGCAGAAATCAAAACTTGCACCCCCTGCATAAAAACGAAGAAGAAAAAAGCAGAAGGGTAGAAGGACTGGGGAGGGACCTGGGTGGGAGGGGAAGCTCTTA